CTTGCTGGCCCTGGTCGGCCTGCTCTGGGAATTTATTTCCAGCTAGCTCAGTGGAGTCCCATAGCACCATCTAGCGTCCGAAAGTGGAAGGGCCCTCCCTCTCCACCCTGCCTACCCTCCTTCCTTCCTTCCTTCCTTCCACTGCTTGGTATTGCTGGACCTTCTTTGCCAAGAGAATTTCAAGGCTTTGGGCTGCTAGCACAGATCAGCTAAGGTGTCTGGGAAGTAAGTACCCCAGGTCCCCATCTATGTTCCTTCGGTAACAGACAGACACAATCTTTACACACCCTTTTTTTTTTTATTGAGGAGAGAAAGCTTTAGCGTACAGAACAATTTATCTTCACAACACAATAATACACCAGTAACAGTCACGACAGTAACATATTTGTTTTTCCCAAGCCTCTGGTGTCCTTGGGCTACCCTTATACCCTGCATGCATTCCCCCACCCCCACCCCCCCACCCCCCATCCCTACCCCCCACCCCCCACCCTCAACCCAAGGAGGCACTCAAAGCTTCGGGCAGCTCCTGTAGCTGTCACATCACAAAAAATATTGAAGATCTGGGAAAGAAGGGAAAAGGGAAAAGGAAGTCCAAGCCCCCTCTGCCCCCAGAGGCCTACAAACCAGTTTCCTGCTCGTGTGCGCTCTCCCTGGCTGAGGCTACACGTGTTCAGAGTGAGATGCATTACGGGGTCAGGCAAGGCCTGTGCCCAGGAGGTCTCTGGAATTTGAGGTACAAGGCACCTGCCCTTTGCCCTTCTCCACAAGCACACGGGCAGCATGACCAGCATGTTGACATCAGCAGACAGGGTCCATAGCTTCGAAGAGTGGTGTTTCCCCTTCTGGAACTCTCGTCTGAGGAAATAAGCTGGAAAAAACAGACACAGAACAAAGTCTTCACATGGTTCTTCACTCCTGCCCTCGTGGGAATGGGGAAGCCACACAACATAAATGTCTAACAGCTCAGGAGGGGGAAATGATTTCATAGGTGACGGCCATTCAATCCTGCTGCTGGCCCTCCAGCAGGCTGACCTCAGCTTGGAGAAACGGCAGTGAGAACCCACTAGAAAGAAATGAGCAAATGATGCTTCTGTGCGATGGGATCCTGCATGTGTGCAAGGGGGATTTCTTGTCCTTAAAGTGTTCTCTGCGTCATTTTCCATGATGACTATATGCTAACTCTTCTCTTGGAGGGAACCATTGTAAAAGGTGGCAACAGGTTAGAGGAACCCAGTCCCACTGATCTCAGGCTAAGAAACAAAAGTAATAAAAGCAAAAGGGTACCTTACCTTTGGCTGATGAATAGAGATCTCACCCTAAACCAGTCTGAGGACTAGGTCTGCCTAAGACTCCTCTTCCCAGGTTCCTTCCTCTGGTCTTAGGTCAGATTCTAGGGCTGGGTTCTCCTCTTCCGACTCCAGTGAGGAACATCCTTCATCTCCAGTGTCCTTCCTGCTGGCCACAGACCCTGGGGCTGTGCTTGCCCAGCTGCCAGGCACTGTGCAGCATGTTCAGTGTCCGGGGACAAGCTGGGCCAGCAGTGAATTGGACTGCCCTTTTGTGGCCAGAACTGATGGAGTACACGTGTGGTTTTCACTGGAGAAGCAGTACTTTCTGGACCCACACTGAACAACAGGTCTCTTTCTAAGGGCACCTGAATGTGTGCCCAAGAAGGCCCTGGAGTGTGTAGGAGGCAGTCAGACCTTACGCCATGCTGGCTCACTGCAGTTCAGCAACAGGCCTGGCTGGGAGAGACCGGCCCTCGTGTGCGAGCCCTGGAGGTGCTGGGCAGCCATGCTGCATGGGTGCAGTCTCTAAGGGGCTGGCCCTGTTTTCGTCTTTCAGAACTCCGCAGAGTCAGGGGCCTCAAGAGCAGGCCAGCAGCGCCACCTCCACCGCCCTGAGGACACAGTCTCCTCAGTGGCCTCGAGCTGGGCCAGAAGGGCCATGTTCCTAAAGCGATTCACTCCTTAGGATACCAAACTGAGTTGTGGCGCTGCTGCCATCTCTGCCTCCCCCACCCTCTCCCCCTCTAGCAATCCTTTAAGGGGAAAGTGGCCAAAGCCTGTTCTGAGTGTCCTGGTGCAGGAGTCTGAGGGAAGGTCAGCCCAGCACTCAAAGTGGAGTCAGTTTGCCACCGTCAGGCAGAGAGAGCGAATCTCAGTCAAGCGGTCCATTGCACACGTGGCTTTATATTCTCACTCCACTAGGCACACACTCCCCTTTCAGGCCCTTCTGCTGGACACATGGCAAGTATGTATTTCTTGGTGCCATCCTGCTCATTGTCTAGTAAGTAGCCTCAGTGGCATCAAGAATTTAATGTAGCCTGCCCTTTAGGTCACTGGGGCAGATCAATGAGGCATTGGGTGAAGTCCTGTTGAGCTCGTCAGGACTGTTGAGGATAAAACTGTAGAACACAGGGCAAAGACACACGGGAGAGGCGACGATTGGGGACCACTAGAGGAGAAAACAAAGGTGACCAGCGCGTTGACAAGAACAGGCCCAGACACTTGCTCTCCAACTTGTGCGAGGACTGAGCAGCAGTTCATGGCAAGAGGACAGTGACTTCTCCTTTCCTAGATGGCCTTGGTTGGGCCCATTTTACTCTCTGTGGTTGTGGTTGCGGAACAGTCTGGAATTCTGCAGGTCTTCGTGGAGTTCTTCCGGCCTGGAGCTCTCCTAAGGCCTGGTCTGTAGATGGGGCAGGTAAAGCAGCAATGGCCAGGGGCAAGGGGTGCAGCAGAAGGGTGTGTTCCCTGTGGCCTACTCACGCCAGCCTTCACACGCGAATTCGGCCTTGAGTGCGGTGGCCCCCCTGTCTCGAGCTGAGGCAGAAGAGCACGGAGGGGTGTGTCTGCATTTGGTGTTGCCCCAGGTGACCTGCATGGTGAATCGGTAGTGGTGGTGGTGGTGGGCTGTAGAAGGGAGAATTGGCGTCTGGAAGACCCTCCAGAAGTGGGACGCGATTCTGGTTCCTCTGGCTGCTAGAATGGATCATGAAAGGTGATAGGCCCAGGTAATTCTCAGCATGGTAGCCTATCGCAGAGCTGACAATGGTCTGGGTTGAACTGTCAACGAGGACAGGTTCTTCCATCTGCACCAGCTCTCCATGTAGGCCAGGATGGGGGGCAGCAAGTGCGTGCATGTGTACAGGGGTGTAGTCGTGCACATACACGTGCTCATGCTGGATCTCCTCCCTCCCTGGCTCCTCCTCTTCTAGCTCCACGACCCTAACCTCAATTTCATCCTCCTCCTCATACTTATATTCACCGCCATCCTCCTTCTTCATCTCCTCCTCCTTGTCTTCTTCCTCCTCTTCTTCCTCCTCCTCCTCCTCTTCATCCTCATACTCCTCTTCATAGTCCTCATCTTCCTCATCCTCCATCTCTTCTTCCTCTCTCCTCATCTCCTCCTCCTCCTCCTCCTCCTCCCTCAGCTCTTGGGAGAAAGCCTTCATGTGCATCCTCTGGTCCATCAGATAAAGCCTGTGCCCGCCTGCCTCACCCTCATCCTCACAATAGCACTCCACACCTTCACTTTCATCCTTGATAAGCACCGGAGTAAAAGGGCAGAAGCTCTCTTGGACTTCAGGGAGGGGGACTGGCTTGGGGACACGCACTTTCCTTTCTATCTCCTCACACTCAAGAATCAGCTCATCCAGGTCTGCCATTTCAGTTGACCATAAGAGTTCCTTTCGGAAAAAATCTGACAAGCCTTTGAGGAACTGGTTTTGGAGGCGACAGTCATCCCAGGACAAGAACTGGGCCAAGAATTGAAAAGCATCAGCATAGCTGGCCAGGGTACAGTCTCCCTGCTTCAGCCTGCGGATGGCCTTTTTAGCCACGCGTGAGGGGATGGGGCCACAGAATTCCTTACGGATTTCATCGAGGAAGCGCGGGAAGTTGTCATGCAAGGCGCTTCCTTCCTGAGTGACTGAGATAGCCCAGTCCCTCGCTTCCCCTGTGAAAAAAGAAATCAAAAAGGCCACCCGTTCCGCGCCCCCGGGGAAGTGATCCTCGTGATATGCTATGAAAGTCTCTAGCTGCATCAGAAATTCAGCCAGGTAGACTGGGTCGCCGGAAAAGGGTTCTATGTCTGGCCGCTCCAGCGGTGGCAGAAGGGCCTGTAGGGGTGGCTCCTTTGACGCCGCCGGGAAGTGCAGCTCCACCTGGGACAGGCCGGGTGACAGAGGAGGGTCAGTGGACCCGTCGGGATTGGTATAGTCCTGGACCACGTTAATCAAAAGATCGTCTGAGACATACTCGGGATCTGTGCGAGGAGGAGGCCAGCACAGGAAAGGCACCTCCTCCTCGGGAGCGGGATCGGTCTCACTGAGCGGTAACTCAAAGTTCTCCTCGGCAGGGACGGGCACTACGGGCCCCTGCCAGTGGACGTAGCCCCGCAAGGAATTAACCTCGGCCAAGGCTCTTCCGAGCTGCAGGCCCAGGTGGGCATTCTCTCCTCGAAGAGCATTTAACTCCTCTCGCAGGGCCACATTCGCCAAGAGGAGGCTATTGAGATTTCCCGCCGCCTCGGACATCGTGACTAGTTCCTGGGGCTTTGAGTGTCCCGCGGTTGGGGGCAGGGAGTTATAGGGACTGCGGGAGGAGGCCGAAATGAGGAGGGGGGCGCAGGAGGCGACCAAAGTGCGGCGACGGGGCGACGGGGCGCAAGCGAGCCCGGGGACCACACCCACAGGGGCTCGGTCCGGGGACGCGTTACCTCGCAGCAGGGGTCGCAGAGGGCGGGCAGCGGCGCGGGACCTGGAGGCGGCAGGCACAGGGCACGGCTGAGATGCTGGCAGCGGTGGAGCAGACTGAAGCAGGCGGAGCGGGAGGGAACGGACTGCGGCAGGATCTGTCGAGGAAAAAGCTGGCGGACAGCGGTCTCTCGCCTTTTAAGCGCAGCCACGCGCGCCCCCCGCAGGGGCGGGCCTTCGGGAACTGAGGGAGCCCACTGGCTCCCGCGGCTGCGCTCTCACTCACTCTTTCCTTCCCTAGCTGCAGCTAACTCGGGTCGGGAAAATGCGACAGCGACTGCCCACTCGAGGTCGTCATGGCGACAGCCAGTGAACGTGTTCCTCTCCTCGGGCAGGCCCCCGAGTGTAGAGGAACTGCTTCGCGAGGCGCAGCTCAATCTCCAGAGCCTGTTGCAAGGTACTGCGAGGGAGGGGGGCTGCTTAGAGGCGGCTGTGCAGCAGGAGGAGGGCAAAGAAGAAACGGGGAGCCGCGAAAGAAAGAAAACAGTTCCAAAGCATCTCTCTTTGCACCTTCCAGACTGATGATGCTAACTAAGACTCTGTTTCCTCTCCCTCCCTTTTCGATCAGCAGTCCACACAGGGAAAGGATACAAGCTGAGGCAGACCAGTGGGTCTAGCAATGCACAGAGAGGGGAATGGGAGACTACCTCAATGGAGACCCATACTCCCTCCAGCCCTCCTGTTCTCATATCTCCCATGCCTTGGAAGTCTGGCACCAGAAAACAAAGGGAACAGCCGTGGGGTCTCCTAACCTGGACCCCACACACTCTGCTCCTATCATAACCTCCCAATCACAATGAGCTTCTCTGTGGAAATCACATCCCCAAGCTGGACGTGTAGCTCAGTGGTAGCACGTGCAAGGCCCAAGGTTCTATGTCCAATACCACACACACACACACACACACACACACACACACACACCTCTTGCTACCCTTGAGTTTCTCTTACTCCTCCTCTTGAGTTCTTCAGGAACACTGGACACAGAGCTGGATCCCCCGAGAGGTGTCTAATGAATACTAAACGTACAAAAGATCTTATCAGTTCTGATTTTGCCATAACAGCAAACGTTAACTTCAGTGCAGAATAGAGAATACCTGATGGACCTCCCAACTGGGATGCAGCCCAAACCCCTAACTCTCTGCAAAGGGTGACCTTAGAGACGCAAGATGCTGAGAGATAATCATGAGCCCTGTGTCCAGCAAGGAAGAGCTACTGGGCAAGTTGGGGGTGAATGTGCTGTTATTACCACAGGCAGAATTAGGACTAGTGAGCAGAAATTCAGAGAGAGCACACATTCCACCTCCCGACAAAGAAAAAAATTTCTGACATGCTCAGTAGCCACAGTCCAAAGGAAGGAGTGAATGTTCTTCAGGTGTCTGCCCTAAGACTGATATGGCACCTGGGAGGGCTTCTGAAGACGGGGTCCGAGCATAGAGTAGCGGATGTTGCTGCAAAGAATCAGCCATGAGAGCAAGCCCCATTACCAGAGTCGGAGTCTGTTCAAAGCACACCAAGCCTTGAATGTTCGTACTGAGCTCTCGCTTTCTGCCTTTCACCTAAACCACTACTTTGGTCAACCCTGCTGAAATCTTACACATACTGATTTCCTCGCATCGCTCGTGAACTTCGCTGTCTTCTCTGCCACCACCTTCAATTTCCTCACTTTTAGTCGCCCTAGACCTGCTCCCATCCACAGTGGAACCAGACCTAAGAAACATCGAGTATGAGTTCTTGTGGCCAGGTATGGTGGCACAAGCCTGTAATTCCAGCACTCAAGAGCCTGAGGCGGGAGGATCTTGAGTCCTGAGGCCAGCCTGGGCCACACGCAAGACTTTGTCTCACAGAAAACAACGAAAATGTAAAAGTTCTTGCAATCCAAGACCAAGTTCCAGACTGGACTTCTCGGTGTGGGTCTCTTCTTGCTTCACGCACACTGGTTCTTGGTAGCGCTGCAGAACGCCCGAAGAGCGGCAGAGTCTCAGAAAACAGAACTTTTATCAAAGGATAGCTACATCCCGAGTGTTAGCTCCTGGTTGAGCCCTTAAGGTGAGGGCCACTAAGAGAGGGTGTGGTCCCAAAGCAGCGCAGCTTGGATTTACTGACTTTCTTTCCTCCTCTGCCCTCATGGTCCCAGGAATCAAGCACTTTTTCTATTTCTGAATTCAGTGGCCAGGAAATAGCTCAAAGAAGCGCTATGAGTCAGTCAGTCCGGGCAGCGTAGTGCAGGGGCCTGGCTCTTTTTCCTCCCCCAGCCTGGCACGTGGCTGAGGCCTCTAGAGTGTGTCTCCACTATGCTGTTTTTCAGAAGAATATGAGGAACAGTATTCGGAGGCCAGAATTCTGGGGCAGACCTTCCGCTCTTCGGATGAGGCTCCTGAGCCTACTCCCAGCCAAAGGCCCCAGTCGGCCAAGCGTCTGGAGTTTGTGTTGATGGTGAGTTGCCTCTTCCCCGACCTGGGAGAGCCAGCGTGCACCTGCCGACAGGGGATTTGAACTGTTCATGCGCTCCTCTGGAAGCTGCTGTTCGTCACTGCTTACTAGCAGGGCTACCGCGAGGTCCCCCTGGGAAGGGCCCTGCACAGCAGTTGCCCAGCCAGGCAGCCTGTACATGCCTTTCCGCCTTCAAGAGGACGCCTCCACCTAGTCTGCCTAAGCAGCCATCCTGTGGGCACCAGCTCCTCACCAGTCAGAAGCATACCCTTTCCATCACCCTCTTTCCCAACAGCCTGCACAACGGCAGCTGAGCGAGGATGAGACCACCACCCAGGGTGTGAGGGCCCCCGAGGCCTGCCTGAGCCTGTCTACAGCCGACAAGCAAACCTCCTGGAATGGTCCCTTCCCGCTACCCGTCCTAAAGGAGAAGAGCTGGCTTCAGCCCTGCTCCACGCAGTCTGACCTTGTGCCCATCAACATCTCGGGTAGAGTTTGCTCCCCTTCACGCCAAAGGCCCATCCTCTCCAAACGCGCTGGGTGCTGGGGAGGGAGGGCCTCTCTGTCTGTTGCGGGCTCACACTGCACTGTCCAGGTCATGACTCCCCGGGGAGTGGAGGCTTGGCCGGAGAGGGGACTGTGGCCGCTCTTCCCCCTCACTCTCTATCTGCACTGCCGGTACAAATGATGCCCTGAGTTAGCAAACAAGTGTCTTTGCAGAATGGGCCAAATTTTCTTCTGAACTTGGGTGTTCTTTTGAGTTTCAGTGGAAACAAAGTTTGTGAACTTTGTCTGTTCCAGGTAAAGATAATGTTAGAAACACAAAGCTGGCTTTGGAATATATGAACAATAGACAGAAGGCGAGGGAACCCGAGCACATGCCGTTTAACTGTAATGTAACAAGGGACAACGGGGACGCAAAGGGCACAGAGGGAAAAGACAGAGAGACCAAAAGGGGGCCCAGGACGACCTTGGAAGTAGTGGGGGGATAGTTGCCTCCTAGTTTCGTTTCCCATTGCTGTGATGAGGTACCCCTAACAAAAACAACTTAAGGGGAAAAGAGTGTATACCGGTTCGCAGTTCAAGGTCAGTTCATCAGAGGCAGCAGGAACTGGAAAGCAGCTAGTCACGTTGTATCCACAGACAAGACAATGGCTGCCTGCTGATGCTCAGTTCCCTCTCTCCATCGATGGGGTCCAGGATTCTCTGCCCAAGGGACTGGTACCCTCCACAGTTAAGTTGGGTCTTCTCATAGCAGTTCATCAAGCGAATCCCCACATTCACGCCAAGAGGCACATCTCCCAGATGATTCTAGGTTCTGTCAAGTGGACAGCACTCTCACAGTCTCCAGGTTGGGGTCACGTGGCACTCCTGCCTCCCACTCCCGTGGCTGGAAGGAAAAGGGCCAGTAATCTCAGGAAACACGGCAGGGGCCTGAGGAAGGCAAGACCTCAGTAATTTGAAGGGAGTATGCCAGAGGAGGCCTGGAAGCTAGCATGGGCCCTGCTGTGGTGGAATAGGTTGGTGAAAGCAATGAGGACTCTTCTGTCTCTGTGTGATCATGCTCCCTGGATACGGCTTCATCCACTGCTCTTAGAGTCACCTTGAGAAAGAGGGGCAGGAAGTGGAGCTCATGGCCTAGGAAATTTTGCCAAGGGAAGTCAAACTGTGAGGGGAGACTCACACAGCAACATCGACGTGCTCTGTCTAAAGGGCTGTCTCACTTTCAGGCTGTTCTTGAATTTCTCCCGCGGAGCCGTTTGCTGGGAAGGGGCTGCCGTGGTGTGACTGGAGGAGGGGCGGGGGTCCAGCTCAACCAGCCACCGAGCTAGAGGCAGGCAAGGGAACTGCCTGTTTAGCCCCATGGACCTCTTCACCCTGATTTTGCCCCCAATGAATTCCCGGAACTCAAAGCTGACCCAGCACTTTAAGAGAATGAGATAGAGCTCAGTCACCACACCCTGCCCATTTTGGTAATGTGGCCAGGCGGCCGTAAGACAGACGATCGGGCTGCTTCCTAAATGTTGAGGTCAGTAGGACAGCTTCTTGAGATACCATCTTCACCTGGTCCCTGTGAAGTCAGTCCAGGCATGATGGCACGTACTTGTGATCGCAGCGCTCTGGAGGCGGAGGCAGGGTGATGAGGACAAGTCCATAACCAAAAGCAACACCAGAAGTACAGAATGCATCTCAGTGATCGAGTATTTGCCTTGAATAGAGAAGGCTCTAGATTCCATCCCCAGCACCCCAGGAAAAACATGATGATCACAATCAAATACCATTTGGCCCCAGCCCATCACTCCACAAGCAGTGATGCTTGCCCCTGGCCAGGCATCTGGAAAACCACCCAAGGATTCCTAGGCAATGCTTCTACCTAGGCCCTCCTCCCATGAAGTTGAATATTCTGGAGTTCAGATTGTGGAGTTTCAAATGCTACCCAGTTTATTTCAGTACGGAGCGGGAGCTGAAAAATACTGCCTGGTGCACCTAAGAAGTGCAGGGGAGCTGAGTGTAGCCTGTAAAACCAAGTGTGTGGGCCCAGAATCAAATTGGGAGGGATGGGGGAAGAAGTACCACCTTCTCGGATGCTGTTATTCATGCTCATTGCTACTGCCGTCACCCTTCTCTCTACCTCGGCCAGTTTCCACTATACTTTAAACAGGAACCAGGATGCACCCAAGTGTCTTTATTTTGGCTACAGGGCAGCAGTTTGATAGACATGCAAGTTTTCGACACTCGTTGTTTAACACAGAGACAGCCGTGAACCCCAAGTCCACCCTGAGGCGGAGGCGGACCATTATTGGATTCTCTAACTTTTCTCAGCGAGACCCAGGTGACCCCAATACAGTTGATTCCCTCCAACCCTTTCCCCATCTCCCACATCTCCTGCCATGCAAGTGCCATTGTGGCATTGGGGAACTGGAATAAGTCTGGGTAGAGGGACTTGGAATATCCTGAAAAAGCCAGTGTGGTGATTATTGTAAACCAAGGGCCCTTGGCAAGACCAGACCAGCAATTGAGTATGGAGAGCAAGGATCTCGGGCTAATAAATCTACTACATTATTGTTTTCCATTACAAATGTAAGTTAGAAACGAAGTACACACCTTTAATCCCAGCACTCAGTAGCAGAGGCGAGAAGATTGTCTCCAGTTTAAGGCCAGCTTGGTCTCCATGAGTTCTAGGCCAGCGAAGGACTACATAATGGGGTCCTGTCTCAAAAAAAGAGTATGCCAAATTTATGCAAATAGATAAAAGTGGGGAATCACCTCCCCAAATCGTTATCTTGTATTGACCCAATACAGTCATTGTGGTGACTGAAGATATTCATGTAGGCTGCCTACCATGTGCCTGGGATATAGTCGGTATTCAACAAATGCTGGCTATTATGAATTATGTCAGTAAAGTAGTAATAATAGTAATGCTAGAATAGTCATGGCTGTGGATGTGAGAAAACTTCTGGAGATTGGACATCTGAATGGTATTGTCACATCTGTGAGTTATCCTAAGCCTGGTATGTTCAAAGGCAAAAGGGAGCAGATGCCCAAACTACAGATTCGTTGCTGGGCTGTGAGCCACATGGTGCTTTGGTTTGAGTCAGTTTAGAAACTTCTGCTCTCACCTCAGGACTGGTGACCCCTGAGGTCTGCTGCTTTCATGGACCCAGGGAGAAAGAAGAAAGTAGAGGGGAAACCCGAGGTTCCCCCATATGTGACGCTTCTCCTCTGAAAAGAGTCATCAAAGCTGGAAAGTCTTTGGCAGCCATCTGGCCAATTCAAGGGCACCCTGTGACTCACTGTGTGGTGATGGGCAAGATCCCAACTTCCCCCAGCATCCTCATCTGTGAAAAGGAAGAACCAAGGAATTCTGACAAAGCTGTTGGCAAATGCTGCTTGGCACCAAGTTGATGTTCTTGTCATAAAACAGCTGATGGGGGATCCCTTGCTGTAGTAGTAACACGTGTTTTCCATCTCCAGGTCACAGCAACAGCCCAGCGGGCAGCCTGGTCTGCTCCGCCACCTCAGACGTCAGGCCCGGCCACTCGGCTCCACAAGTTGTTCAGGGAAGAGTTGCTGTTGGGCAGGAAGCTCGGTTTCCAAGTCTCACCTCGCCAGGACCGAGACACTCTTCTAGTGAGCCTGCAGACCCACACCAGGCACGTGGTGGCCCAGACCCTCCGGGCATGGAGAGCATGGCAGTGGTGTACAGTGTCCCCGGTTCTTGCAATGGACCGACAGAGTCAACGTTCTCCGCCTCCTGGAAGGGAGAAGCTTTCACATACATGACACCAAGTGCCAGCAGCCAGGGCAATCAAGGCAGTGAAAATGGAAAAAATCCTTCCTCTGGAAATTCCTGGGTGTCTCTGAACACACTCCCACCTCTGGTCCCTAAGGAGGCGGCTACCCTCTTTGTCACCCGGGATAACCCAGCAGGATGCACTGGGCTACCCAGATACTCTGAGCACCTCACTCAGCGAAGGCAAATACCAGAAAGACCTCCCAAGATTGGCCTTCTGGCCCGTGGTACCTCAAGACTGGAAACAGGCCCAGGCGGGACCAACAGATTCCGGGAGCGGTCACTGTCTGTGCCCACAGACTCCGGGGTCACCTCAGTGGACTATGATGAAGAACAGAAGGCTGGGGAGGCCTGCATCCTGCCTTATGCCAGTACAAGTTCTGAAGGTAGCAACAGTACTGACAACATTGCGGCCCTCAGCACTGAGCAAGAGGCGCGGCACAGAAGGCAAAGATCCAAAAGTATTTCACTCAAGAAGGCTAAAAAGAAGCCCTCTCCACCCATGCGCAGTGTCTCACTAGTCAAAGACGAACCAGTCCTCCCACCAGAAGGTGAACTGGCAATGCCCAAGGACCAGAGGCCCAGGAGCCTTTGCCTCTCCTTGGAACACCAAGGGCATCATTCATCTCAGCCTGATGCTCAAGGTCACGCGCAAAGCTCTGTGCCAACTCTCAAAGATCCGGAAGGTACACAGTTCTCTCACCACTGGTATCTTACTGACTGGAAGTCTGGTGACACCTGCCAATCCTTGTCCAGCTCCAGCACTGCCACTGGTACCACGGTCATTGAGTGCACTCAAGTTCAGGGAAGCTCCGAGTCTCTGGCCTCCCCTTCCACCTCCAGAGCGACAACCCCCTCCCAGCTCTCCATTGAGGTGGAAGCCAGGGAAGTAGCCTCCCCTGGAAGGCCCACTGGACTGATGTCTCCTTCCAGTGGGTACTCCAGCCAGTCAGAGACACCCACGCCCACTGTCTCCATGTCCTTGACCCTGGGCCACTTACCCCCTCCAAGCACCAGTGGCCGAGTACGTCCAGTGGTGCCAGAAAGGAAGTCATCACTGCCTCCAACTTCGCCAATGGAAAAAATCTGCAAGTCACGGTTATCATTTGACCTACCACTGACCTCTTCAACTACCCTGGATCTGTCGGGGATGAATATCTCCATCCGCAGCAAAACCAAGGTGAGTCGTCATCACTCTGATACCAATTTCGGGGCCAAACTGGCACAGAAAAGCAGTCCAAACCAGCCAATCATGCCCATGGTCACGCCGTCTGACCTCCGTTCTGTTCGCCTGAGATCCATCAGCAAGTCGGAGCCGGAAGATGACGTTGAGAGCCCGGATTACACCGAGGAGCCTGGCGCCGAGGAAGTCTTCACCTTGCCAGAGAAAAAAGTGAAACCTCCGATAGCCGAGAAACCTCCACTGGCCCGAAGACCTCCAAGTTTGATTCACAGGCCGCCCTCTCTCTCCGGGGAGCATCCACTAACTTCTCCTACCATGGCTATGACACCCAAGAGCTCTGTTCCACACATGAAGCAGCTCCCCCAAGACAGCTACACAGTGTTGCGGAAACCAAAGTCACCCAGCTTCCCCAGTAGCAGGAGCCCGGGGGAGTCAACAGCGCCCTCCAGCCTCGTCTGCACACCTCTTGCCGGTTCCTCTGGTGCTTTCTTCTCAGGAACACAGCAACCTCCCCAGGCCACTGTAGAAGATGGGGGCGCCAAGGTGAGAGCCCTGCCTGAAAGAATCAGCCTCCAGAGCCAGGAAGAAGCTGAGAAAAAGATCAGCAAGATTCCACCTCCGGTACCAAAAAAGCCCAGTGTGCTCTACCTGCCTCTCACCTCGCCTGTAGCTCCGACGGATGCCTGCACGGCAGAACCAAGGCTGCCTTTCAGCCCCATCATCACCCTGGAGGAAGATGCCAAGTGTCCCTCCACTGGTGATGACTTGAAGTCACCTGGTAAAAGCGTGGCTTCGGCTCCTCCCGTTGACAGTAAAAAGGAGGCCATCTCTCCAGGTGAGTAAGCTATCTTTCGGCTTTTCCCTTCAGCCCCAGGACGGATGAGGGTGAGGCTGGAGTTCAAAGACAGACCAAATGCCCCAGTGTGACCAAATCTGTAGGGAGCACATCTAGAGGGCTTGGGTAACTCTGAAAAAGGAACTGCGGCTTGGCCTTACCGTCCAGGAGATCAGGACTGACCCAGGACAGGTCTCCAAGGCTAAGTCCGGACAACCTACCCTTGGCACAGGCACTACAATAACAAATCAAAGCCTTAGCACACTGGGACTTCCCGACCCCATCTGCCCAGCCTGGCATGCCACCCCTGCCCTAGGAGTCCTACTCACCAGACAAGAGTTTTCATTAGCCACACTAGATTTAGATTAATGCACGGGACTCGGGACTCTATAAGTCCAAGTTCAAGTGTCTTGGAAGGCTCATGGGATTCTGAAATGATGTGCTGTGTTACCACCTGCACACACTGTCCGTGTCTTCCGGAAGAAAGGGCACAATCTTCCCCTGGATGGTTTGATTCTAACTCTTCCTGGACCAATAAGACTAGGCTAGTTAATGGTTCTCCTTTTTGGTTGCTGTTGTTTCTGTGACTTTTTGTTTTAATTCTAAGATACACACAACACATATTTTAACCGCTTACATATGAGCGCGCGTGTGCGCGCGCGGGGGGGGGGGGGGGGGGGGGCGGCGGCGGCGCACCGGTCTGTTGAGTGTCTTTGGCTATCATTCTTTACCTTATCTTTTGAGACAGAGTTTCTTACAGGACCCAGAGCTTATTTATTGGCTAGAGTGGCTGACCAGCAAGCGCTGGGCATCTGCCTGTCTCTGTTCCCCCAGATCTGGATTACTAGGGTGATAGGCATGCCCAACAGTGTCCAGCTTTTACATGAGTGCCAGGGATCCAAACTCAGGCCTGCATGCTTGTATGGAAGGTGCTTTACCAGCTCAAACAACTTCCGGGCACCGGCCCCTTTTGTGAGACAGAATTTCACTTTGTACCTAGGCTGGCCTGTAAGTCACAATTCTCCTACCTCGGCACCCCCACCCCCAAATGTTGGAATTGTAGCTATGTGCCTCAATCCCTGGCTTAATTTTGCCCGTCTTTAGCCATGTAGTTCATTAGTGTTTAAGAACATTCACGCTGAGTAACCCGTCTCCAGAATGCCCTTGATCTTGGGGAATTGAAGGTCTATACCCTTGAAACAACTCCCCCTCTCCCCCACTTCCTCCTCCCCTTACCACCCCCACTTTTCTCCACAGTTCTACTTCTCAGGTCTGTGGATCTGACTGCTCTGGATACCAGTGGAGTCATAGATTTGGTGTCTTTTTTATGACTTGCTTATTTTTATTAATGCCCTCGAGGCTCAACTGTGTTTCTCATCATTTTTGAACCCTTAATACTAAACATCAAAATCTCATGACCTTCTTTAAGCTGATTCAGACTTTCAGCGTAAGTGAATCACTGTGACGAAAGCAAGCGGGCATGTCAAAGCCACAGGTTCTTTTCCAATATGCTTCCTCCGACTCCACAGGCTCCCTCAGATTCAAGCAAGTCTCACTCCCCACCCACTGGGTGAGGATAATTGCTTTACCCTTCTCTCAGTATCTGGAGTTTTTTAATTATGTATTTATAACAAGGGGGCCTGGAGATATAGCTCAGTGCCAGAGAGCTTATCTAGTGTGTGCAAGGCCCTGAGTTCCATCCCCAGCACTAATTTTTTTTTAAATAAATAAGAAAATGAGCATGCTCAGATCACCTGTTTTAATGAAAAGAATGCATGAGAACAAGGATCTGGGCCAGTCTTCACCATGTGGGCATTGAAAGGCCTGGGGGTAAATCATTAACCTTCTGAACTTCATGTTCCTCGCAAAATGGAGACATCAAATCAAAAGTCTGCCTTGCTGTCCATCCAGAGTTGCTTTGAGTGTTGAGGGAAATAATGAGATTGCATGTACTCTGTCCTAGCTATCATGGTCAAAGTCATTCCTTTCGGTTCTTATGCCTAGGGAGGCCTGTAGAACCAAGCACCGAAGAGAAAAGTTTAATCAGTGATAAAACAGCCGAATGGATCTCGGAGGAGGATGATGACGTGTTTGTGGCTTCTCGCACAACTGAAGATTTGTTTACTGTGATCCACAGGTCAGAATCATTTTCCTTCATTGTAATTGTGATTGCTTTCCCCTTTTCTACTGGAAGGAAAATTGCTGCCCCTGCAATTGCAGCAGGAGATTAAGTCCAGGTACCTGCATATGTGAGCGCAGTCTGGGGCCTCACATCTCAAATTCACCGATATCTTTGGTTGAAGCGGAGGAGGAGGGGAGGACCAGGTGCTGAGAGAGGCCCCTCGTCTCCTAGCAACCGCTTGGCCTATTGTGTCTCCATCTGCTCCCTCACAGCTCTATCTGCAGTCAGAGACATTTAACCCTTTACAGAATTTCTTGTACCACAGAATTCTATCACGATATGGAACACTGGGCAGCATATGAGAGCAGGGACTTTAGGCAGATGGGGTACAGAGGTGGGCCTCGGGGCATGAGGGAAGGGGCTCGTTAATGAGGTACCTGGATTTGCGCACCCAGTTCCTGGAGCTGGAGCACCAGTTCAAACCAGTTCCAAACCCCTGGCTGTCTTGAGTCAGTTGCTGAGCTACTGGACTTGACTCTTTAAGTTCGTACTTGAGCTCAGAACTGATAAGGACTGAACCCGTAGCATAGGGCAGGCGACTCCAGTTGAGGGTATTGAAGAGCATGTGGAGAACAGAGGGCCCTGCAAGGGACCTGGAAGCTAAGTGGTGAGGAACAGCCCATCAGCACAAAGCTGTCATATGCCCGATCTTGAGCACATCCCTGGCTGGCAGTTCATCAAAGCTTTGCTAGCTGTCTGCTCCCCGAATTCCCTGAATTCCCTGACCAGTCTTTCTCTCATTTAGGTCCAAAAGAAAGCTACTCGGCTGGAAAGAGCCTGGGGAGGCCTTCCCAGGCAGCAGACCCAGCTCCCATTCGCCAGTGAAGAACACAGCTGATTCTCCCACCAGTGAGTCCGCTGCTGCCACAGGGCCAAGTGGCAGTGCGAGCCTAGATGCTGGCAGAAATGATGACTTCAAGGCCTTGCTCCAGAAGAAGGGAAGTAAGGCGACGCCCAAGACCCGCCCGTCGGCGGCCGAGCTGCTGAAGACCACTAACCCTCTGGCTCGAAGAATCATTGCACAGTTCTCAAAAGACTATGAACCCACCGACAACCCCAGTACCTAAGCCCTGCTTCTTACTTACTAGCCCTGAGTAGAGAAGGGGAGAGAGAGAGGGCTTCAGAAAGGACCCAACCACAGCAACGACAAAAGCATCTATATGTCCTTGACCTTAACTCACACTCTGGACAGCAGAGAGGCCAACGCAACACAACTGAGCTCAGCGGGCACTCTGAGAGGCTTCAGACCATCTGTGTTTCCATGCTCCCATCCTTCCCATGACTGAACACTGGGGTCCCTTCTTATCATCTCCCAGCGCTGTGCGTTAAGAAGAGAGTCTCCGATTTGAGAGCCTGTCTGCCATCTTTTCAGTGTCCTAGCTGTTTTGTCCACTGGCTCCTGTCACTGAGAGGCACAGTGGGAGAACGGATTGGGGACTTCCAAACCAGGGCTGGGGACAGAGGGTGCCAATTCCACTGCTGATTATCTACTCTCCTGGGGTGGCCTTGATGGCCCTATGTGAAGACACAGACAGACACTGAGGCCTCCTCAACCACGGTGTGACTTCCTCCGGAGTGAGTTCTGCAGGAGGCGTGCACTCATTTCAGCATGGGGTTGATTGGATGGCTTTTGTGGTGCAAAATACGAATGTGACTCCTCCAAAACTCCATGCCTTTTTCAGTTTGATTGTCTATGCGGAGATCAGGGTGATGAGTTTTAATAAACTTCCAGGACGTCCCCCCCTCCCCCATTAGCTAGAATAGATAGGATTGGGTGGCTTTGGCTGATGCAAGCTCAGCAAACGAATGGGACATTTGTTCACTCACATCTAGCCAAGGTAACTCGCATGTGCGCCTTGAGGTCTTTGGAATGTCTGTCATCGTGGGTAGCCAAGATCTGTGCCCAGCCCATGCTGTATATGCCAAGAACTTCATTCCACTCCCATGTAACATTCATTACAGGAAGTAATTAGGTTGGAGGGCTGGCATCATCAGAGGAGGAGAAAGTAAGTGTACCTTGCCCCATACCAGTTGATTCAGAGTATGCTTTTTGTGGTTGTTTGGGTTTTGTTTAAAGGAAATCTGGCCCTGTTTCGAAAATCAAGAACCTGTAGACTAAAAAAAAAAAGATCTACGCAAAATCAAAAAGGCAGCCTGCTATGGCCCGTAATTACAAGAAGGCTACTTTTTGCCATTTGGGTACTGCTGTTTGGCCAGCTTTCAGCTAGCCGTGGGGGGTGGGGAGGAGCAGAGCAGCTAGGATAAAGAGCACCCTGAAAGAGTTCCAAAACAATCACAGTTCCCCCTTCCCTTCCAAAGGCAACAGGTACTGGCTGTTCTTGTCAACTTTGTAAGCAGCGCAAGAGCGCCTGATTTCCATACACCTGGGTTTCTGAGGGGCTGGGGACAAGATAAGCAGAGCACTGAACAGAGAGCCTGATGGCCAGTGTTGGAAAGTTCATGGTCTTCTGGTCCCGAAAGGCCAAAAGGAAATGAACTTGCAGTGTGCTTTGCAAAAACAGAAAAAGGTCCCCTGACCCATCCCTCCCGCACCCCCTGCCCTAACAGATTCCTTGCTCGGTCTCCTGGAGGAAGCAGTAAGAGGTCCAGAGACAAGCATGTCTCCATTTGGATAGGTCACGCTCCTTACCAATGAGAAGCAAACTCTTAGCTCAACTGCCCACACTCCAGCAAGGCAAAGTGGCTGAAAAAACTACACTGAGTCCTGAGAAGACTCGGGTCTCTGGCATAGAAGCCCTAGGCTGAGATCGGTGCTTGGGTTGGTCTAGTTCTGAATTCTAGACAAATGGAAGGAGATCAAGCTCACCAACTCTCTTGCAACTAGTCTTCTCTCAGATTTAGAAAGAAGCCACGGAAATAATAAACAGTTCGGGAAACTCCAGTTACTTTGAAAGTGTTTAAACCATTTGACATGGAGGTCTTAACCAAGTTTCATGAGTTTTGCCTGAATTTAAACAAGAGTCGGGCAGGAGTGTGGTATATACAGTTTTAATCACTGCACCTAGGAGATGGAGCCAGGCAGATTTCTGTGAGTTTGAGGCCAGCCTGATCTACATAGCTAGTTGCAGGCTGCCAAGGCTACATAGTGAGATCCTAATTTCAGTCTTTGCCTGGTTTTTACATAAGTATCACACTTGACCTAACCCAGAATTCTAAAAGACAGAGGTTTTCCTCTGTAGGGAAATGAAGGAGTGGGGTGCCTTGCTTCTGCCTATCAGAAGCAAACCCCCCCCAGTCTGCTCCTCAGAACCATTGTGAATTGTTGAATTCTAAAGTTTGAGCGTGTGGGACTCTGTATAGGGCTTGCTACTTTTGCTGATTTTTTTTTGGAAGTGTCTTGTTTGTTCTTTCTCATGGGTTTTGCCTCTGCCCTCACCTTGCTACCTCCAGAGATTTCCCCAAAAGATTGTAAACTGGATGCTTAGACTGCTTGAGGTTGTTTCTGGTACCTAAACCCTTGCTCTCCTCTCTACCAGTCTGTATGCCTGGGATGTTTAGAACCTTTCCGCATCATTTCACCCCCAGAAGGCTATTAGCACAAGAGGATTTGGGGCAGCGGCTTTACAACCAGAGGAAACCCTTAGGGCTGGGGGTAGTCCTTCTGCATTTCCAGGTTTTGCAGGGAGTGGACCTAGTCCTAAACAAGCAACCAGATTGTTAAATAATAATAGTAACTACCAGTCATTGGTTAGCACGACACCAAGCATCTTTCTAATACTTAACCTCTCTCCTGTCCTTAATATCATAAACACCAACTCTCTCCCCTGAGTATAAGGTGTGCTGCCCGTGAGACTGGAGGAGAAGGGGGAAACCCCTTCCAGGGAGGTCTCAGGGAAGTTGCTACCACTCCTGTGATGTACAGCACACATACGGAAAGAGAGCAGTCTCTGCAGATGGCACACACAGCACGTTGGAGGGAAATGAAATTGGCCCCTGGTGGTCAGCCTCTGCTTCAAGCTCTTCCTAGCCCCTTGTTTCTCTCTAGCTCCAGCCCTTAGTTAGACTCTGTTAGAATAGCTTCAGTATAGTCAAGGGTGGGGGAGCCCCCCCCCAGAGGCAGTTAATGGGTATGTACATGCTTTGCCCTTGGTGGGTATACATTTGTGGTTCAAATGGAGAGCAGGTTAGTCTTAGTACCAAGGTTGACTTGGCTTGCGCCTCCTCCCCTTTGCCTGCACTGTCGGCCTGCCTGGGCCTCCCTCCTGGCTCCAGCTTGTCTTTCAGTCCTCACACCCAGGAGCTGCACCCATACCAACAGCTCGACCACAAAGGAGTCAAGGCCACAGGCGGCCAATTCATTCACATTAGCCTCATGACCACAAGGTTGATTTGGAAAAAAAAAAATGACCTTGAATGTACAAAGATGGGCAAGTCTCCAAGGTTCCCCCAACAAGCATCCTGCCTGGCATCTTTTCTCCAGACAACAGAGATCCAGTTGCTGTCTCTGCGTATCTGTCAACTCTCAGCAGATCTACCCATGCACCCCGCCCTACTCCTCACCCCCGAACCCGTCGGGGGGAAAAAAGACTAGCTATCACTCAGTGCTCTGTCGCTCACTGTTTCTGCCCTCTGTTTGCCGAGTCTGTGGCACAATGGTGAGCTTTTCCTTTGATTTGATTTGCCAGGGCCAGGACTAGGGTGAGGCGATTGGGGAGACGCCCACTCTCAAGGCCCCGCCAGTGCCTTACCCTTGCCACGGCCCTGTGATTTGCACTCTGTAAAGTAGTATCAGTTGCTCTTCCTCTGAGTGTAGTTCTGATGTGGGGGCAGGTTTGGCGCCAAATGTTTTCTTGGTGTTCCTCCATTTGTTGCTAGAAGCCTTTGTATGCAGTAAAGAACCTTCAGTATTATCGCAAACATTTTAGCTGGCAAGTTAGCACCCGGTTCAGGAGGAACACCCCAGCCAGACAACTTCAGCAGGAAGTTGGAGGTCTGCCCCTGTGACCCTGTGTCTGCTCTTTCTGCTCCATTCCTCCCTCCCCTGTAGTCCTTGTGGCCCAGCACCGATTCTCCTCAGTGCCTCCTGCTTTGTTCTCCTCCTAAGAAAATCCATGCTCTCAGGAAAGGGATGAATTCACTGACTTTGAGACGGGGAGGCTTAATGCTACCTTTTTCAAGGGTTGCTTGCATTTTAACAGGGGAACAGCCTTAAGCCAAAGGAATGAAGTTCTTACAGAATGTTAGGCGTCAACTAGTTGTCCGAGTTCTTTTTCACCGTGGAAAGACCAGACTCCCTGACAGCTGACTCCAGAGTCTAGAATACACGCTTTTCTCCTGGAATCATTGTAGTTGGTAGCTGATGGTCAGTTATCTAGATAACCCTGTGCTACTTTACCACCAAGGGACTCTGAGAAAAAGCTACTGAAAAGCCTCTGAGAAGGCCTAGATCAGTATTCACACTGTACATTAACATGTTTGTGTAAATGGAATTACTGCTACTTACCACGTAGGTAAAAAGACACAAAGATTTAAGAAGTTTGTGAAATGTGTCCTGTTTGTGCAAGGTGACCCTGTCGAGTCCATTCCTTACTGATGTCAGTCGTCCACTCTCAGTGGTGGTTATTAAACTGGGTGGAGGTATAGTCGCTAAGCACAGGCCTCCACTGCCCCGTCTGCCATTTGTCTCTCTTGTGTGCTATGACTCCGGCTTGGTGTGAGAATGAGACCTTATCTAAAGCAGAGCCCCCGGTCCCTAATGCCTTTGCATGTATTTCAGCTGTAAGTGACCAAGATAGTAAGATATGAAAGGAGAAGGAAAGAGGTACAAGACAGTGCCTTTGTCAAAGGTCAGCAAACAGAATGATGACTTGAAAATGACCTGAAGTCAGCGAAGTCAAATTATTTTAAAATACTTTGAAATCGGTTTATGGAGGACTATGGTTGTGAATGGTGTTTGAACACATGTTGGAGGCGCTTTAATAGGTTTAGCAAAAAGAAATTTGCCTAATGAAGATTGTGTGAAGTAAATATATACCTTTGTCCAATAAAGGCCCAAATCTAGGCCACTGGTTCTCAAAGTATGGTCTTGGAACCACCTAGAGCAACATGAGAGAGAGAGAGAGAGAGAGAGAGAGAGAGAGAGAGAGAACGCCTTTAAGCCCCCCAAATTACCAGAGCCACGCCTCTCCAACAGGTTACCTTTCCTACCGTTAGAGTTATCAGTCTGGCTAAGAAGTGTGTGTACCATCTTCTCGTTCAGTTACACATTTGTCTGCTGTTAAGAAACTGCCAGATTGAATCGGGCCCATCTGGCCTGGTTTGGATTTTTTAAATAGTAACAACAAAAAAGGGGTGGTGGTGGTGGTGGTGGTGGTTGTGTTTGGTGTTACCAGACCTTAAATGAATGTCCTCACCATGGTGGCTGTTCTCCAGGAGGGCTCTCGTAGAGACAGATTCGCTTTTGAGGTTCTGCCTCACGTATGAAGTGTGGTGTTTGATAGTATTGACCTCCCCCTACAGGGACACAAACCCCTGAACCAGAACAACCAGTTCCCCTCTCAGCCTCTTTGTAATGCTAAGCTTTATAGAAATTTATTCCCTATGTGGTCTTGAGATTTTCTATGTCCAATTTTATAAAATGTTCTGCATGCAAACACAGCATTGTGGTCACTGTACCCAGTCACTTCAAAGGCATTCCTCCTTCATGTGTGTGCTGGTGAAGAAATACCAACATGTATGTTCTGTTGTGTCCTGATCAACTGTAAATTACATTTTCATTAATTTTTAAATGAGCTATATTTACTCTGGCTAGCAGTTAAAATTTTATTCTTTTTATTATCTTTCATTGCTACTTTTTTCTACTGACTCTAAGGCTTATTTTGGGGGGGGATTTCTTATTTCTAGATTGTTGTATTTCTCTTATTTCTATATTTATCTATAATCACAGAGAGTAAGAGCTGAAAGGGACCAACCTCCCTCATTTCATAGAGGAAATGAAGGCCTAGATGGGTCAGATGGCTTGCTGCAGGTCACACAGTGAGTCTCCCGCCTCTGGGATGAATGTTTTGACATTTAAAGCACTATATTTATGAAGGACTCATGACTGGCTTCTACTTGTCTGACTCATTAATTTCCCAGGTATTTCAGTGATTTAAAAAAAAAATCTATATGCTTTAAGGGAACATGCGCAAGCGTTCTTCAGTTAATGAATCCAAAGAAAATCTGGTTTTTCGTTTAGAAATTCATTTCCCTCCATGTTTACTATCTGTGCCCTACTGTGTACAGTGGATGATGTTTTCCCTAAACGCTATGTGGGGGACAATGGATTTATATAGAACAAATTTCATTTTTTAGTAGGAAAGTTTCCCTGTGTAAGGGAATCTTCTAGGGGCTTTTTTGGAGAAACAAAACAAAACAGACTCTTCTTGTTGTTTGTTCCTTAAGGTCTTTAATTACTTATTAGTGTGAATTTTTGTACTTGCTTTTATTTAAAGTAGGGCAAACCAGTGTTAGCTTTCATAGAATTAACTAGAACCTTACCTTCCTAATCTTTTTGAGAAATCTTCAGACTGTTAGATGCTTATGAGTAGCTACTCAATTGTATTCTAGAAACTTCACCTGACTTGACATTTTACCAATCCCTGGGCTCAAATTCCACCTCTGTCTGATCAGATAATAACAGAGTTCCCTAATCAGTATATGTGGTCTCTTTTCCAGAACATTCTTTGCCCAGTATTCCTTAGTGTGCTCTCACTTTAGTCATCTCAGGCCTCCTTCCATAAATCACGCATACCTCACTGTCCTGTGGACTTCCGGGCACTCTACCTTGAGGGCTAGGCTACTCATCCTCAGCAATATTTCCAGTTACCCCCATGTTCCCCTTTCTCTCGGATCTTCTGACCTCCCTTTCTAGACTCAAAGGCTTCTCTCACCAGAGACTGGTGGGATTTTTTCCATTGTTTCAGGAAATCGATAAGCTTTTCCTACAAAGGGCCTGAGAGTAATTGTTTTATGCTTTGTGAGTCAAATATAGTTTCTGTAGCAGATTCTTTTTTTGTGGCTCTTTGTTCATTCACTTGTTTCTTTTCTTTTT